AAAAGAACAGATGGCACATTGAGTGTAAATATGAAACTACCCTTGGAGCTGAAACAGAAGGCTGGCAACCCAGGGAAGTGTAGCAAACATGAAGCCGACTCCCCATATTTCTCAGCTCTTCTCATCTTTGTCTCACTTCTCAAGGCGCAGACTTTGTCAGTAGCCTGTAATATCTTAAGTACTCCCAGCTGATTACCCCAAATTGGGATCCACCAGGAAGCCCTCTGTCTCTGATCTCTGGGCCCTCTCACCTGTTTATCTTCTCAAATTAGCTCCCTTTTGTTCCTTCTCATTCATTTTTAACTATTTCTTAGACTCTTAAGGCTCATTCCTCCTGTCCTTCTAGAGCAGTGGTTCTCAACCTTCTGGCCCTTTAATACAGTTCCTCATGTTGTGACCCAACCAGAAAATCATTTCTCGTTGCTACTTCATAACTGTCATGTTGCTACTGCTATGAATCGTCATGTAAATATCTGAGATGCAGGATGGTCTTAGGCGACCCCTGTGAAAGGGTCGTTCGACCGCCAAAGGGGTCGCGACCCACAGGTTGAGAACCGCTGCTCTAGAGGCATGACTCTCAATGTGAGGGAACATGAACTTACATACAAGTTCAGGAGACATCCCCTTCCCCTGAGTGAGAAGTTCTTCTATGAAAGAAGCAGAACGCAGCGTACCTCCCGAAGCTGGGCGCTGCTGGTTACGAGGAACTGCTCTCCCGCCACAAAGTGGGCTTCCTGTTCCAGGTCCTTGAGACGAGACTGTGAACGCGATAAACACAATCTCATTGCAGTTCAGGATGATTTGATTTGTTCACCAAACAGTCCCCAACAAAAGCCCTTATAAGGATACAAACACGTATTTTTGACACTAAAAATACATATTTTGACTCATGGTGGGATACCCAGGCTCACAGGATCCCTCTAAACCTAAGGAAACAAACGGAAAGAAGCAAAATCAGTAAAAAGAAAAAAAATCACCAAAACGAGAGAGGGAAAGAATTCTCCAGCAGCCTTCTGACTAGAAAGGGGTCCAGCATCCCATTCTAAGCATCAACACCCCTGCATGTCCCATGGCAGGGACTCCGGGCCCAGCTGCATGGCCACAGCCACAGTGAGCACAGAGACGGCAGCCACGGAGAGACGGAGAGATGGCGCGGCCGATAGGGACAGCGCTGGGCCGAGCAGAGCCGCGGGACCTGCTGCATTTACAAACCCGTTCCCCTCACATCTTGGTCAGAAGAAAAGTAGAAGGAGGCCAGGACTTAACAAAAAATTGTTGTAAAAGGAAAGAGAGCCGAGACAAATCAACCAATTCTGGTGAAATATCGTCCACATTCTACTCTTTAGAATTGCCGTTAGGCGGAAATTTCTAAGAAGTTTATAAATAGGGGCCAGAAAAACTAGGAGCGGGACACATCTACACTAATAAAAGAGAAACATGGTAATTGGCATACGACCGCTACCCTTTTCATTGGCTAATCAGCAAGATATGCAAATTAACTGTCAACCAAGATGGCAGCCAGCAGCCAGGCAGCTTGAAACTAACATGAGGCTTGCTTGCTTCAGTGACGATGGACTCCAACATTCCCCGCCTGCTGCTGCAGGCCTCTGAGCCTGCAGTTTAAGAAACTCTGTAACAAATACCAGCAGAATCGCAACATTGTAAGCAAAGACCAGAAACCTACTTTCATCAGCGGAGGCCTAAGAGCTGGAGCCAAGTCTCAAAGCTAAAGCTGTCCAGAATAAAATTAAAAAAAGAAAGAAAAAAAGGAGTAGTTGGGAGCTTCAGTCCCCCCCAGCCTGAAAACAGCCCTCAGCCCCTCACCCAGACTGGCCAGGCACCCCAGTGGGGACCCCTACCCTGAAGGATGTGTGACCAGGTGCAAACAGCCATCATCCCCTCACCCAGGCTGGCCAGGCACCCCAGTGGGGACCCCACCCTGATCCAGGACACCCTTCAGGGCAAACCAGCCGACCCCACCCATGCACCAGGCCTCTACCCTATATAGTAAAAGGGTAATATGCCTCCCAGCACCAGGATCAGCGGAGCCATGAGGCCTGCCGGCACCGGGATCAGCGTGACAGGAGGCAGCGCCCAAACCCCCTGATCGCCCTGTGGCTCTGTGTGTGACAGGGGGCGGGGCCACAACCTCCCTATCCACCCTGCTCTGTTCGTGACAGGGGAAGGCGCCCCAACCCCCTGATCAGCCCTGCTCTGTGTCTGATAGGGGGGAGCTCCCCAACCGCCCCCCCCCATGGGCCCTGTTCTGTGTGTGACGGGGTAGAGCCATAACCTCCCCATCGGCCCTGCCCTAAGTGTGAGAGTGGCGGCACCCCAACCCCCTGATCGGCCCTGCTCTGTGAGTGACAGGGGGCAGTGCCCCAACCCCCTGATTGGCCCTGCTCTGTGCATGACAGGGGGCGGCGCCCCAACTCCCCAATCGGCCCTGCTCTGAGCCCGACCAGGGGCTGCACGTAGGGATTGGGCCTGCCCTCTGCCCACCGGGAGCAGGCCTAAACCAGCAGGTCGTTATCTCCTGAGGGGTCCCAGACTGCGAGAGGGCACAGGCCGGGCTGAGGGAGCTCCCCCTCCCCTCTGAGTGCACAAATTTTTGTGCACCGGGCCTCTAGTATAACATAAAAAAGTAACATCTCAGCTAAATGAAGAACCCAGGAACAACGGCCTCAGTTAAAGATGCCAAAACTCCGAGTTAAAGAAACAAATGATTTAAAAAACAAGGAACAAAGCATTAAGAGACAGACGATGGGTCCCCTGAGGAATAAGTCAGACCTTAGGAAACAAAAGCACAGTCATAATTGTTTGATCTCAAAAAACGGAGCAAGAGTGTAAGCTTCGAGCTCATACGGCGCATGTGCACACTCCTGTGTCTAAGCACACGCAGTGCTGGGTGAGTACAGACCAGGGGTGGGCAAACTTTTTGACTCGCGGGCCACAATGGGTTCTTAAACTGGACCGGAGGGCCGGAACCAAAGCATGGATGGAGTGTTTGTGTGAACTAATATAAATTCAAAGTAAACATCATTACATAAAAGGGTACGGTCTTTTTTTTTTTTAGTTTTATTCATTTCAAACGGGCCGGATTCGGCCTGCGGGCCGTAGTTTGCCCACGGCTGGTATAGACAGAGAGAGACAAAAAGACTGACAGCTTCAGGCAAAACAAAACAAACATCTCCTCAGAGCAGAGACACATGAGCACTACAAAGCATCGGTCAAGGGGAGGGGAGGCGGGGCAGGCGCAGAGGCAGAGCCCAGCTGGGCGCTCAGGAGCCAGCAGCCTGCTGGAGGCCGGGTCCTGCTATGAAACCGGGCCCTGAAAGTGTTCCGTGGTGGGAGGAAGCCGGGGTAGGTGGTATTGGTTTCCTGCTGCCGCATAACAAACACCCCCAAACACAACCATGGTGTCCGCTCGCATTTCTGGGGATCAGTAATTTGGGTAGCGCTCAGCTATGTGCTGGTGCTGGCCTTGTGACCTCAGGGTTGAAATGTCCATCTTTTACTAGATTCCCCCCCCCCCAATATTTAGCTCATTTTAAAAATTGTGACAACCATTTTCTTTAAACCATTTTTTCTAATTTTAATTAATTTATTAGTTAATCCTCACCCGAGGATATTTTTCCATTATTGATAATTAGAGAGAGTGGAAGGGGGGGGGAGAGAGAGAGAGAAACAGCCCAGGACTGGGGATCAAGCCTGCAATTGAGGTACATGCCCTTGACCGGAATTGAACCTGTGACCCTTCAGTCTGCGGGCTGATGCTCTATCCACTCGGCCAAACCGGCCAGGGCAGGGTTTTTCTTTTTCTTTTTTCTTTTTTTAATCTATATTTATTGATTTTTTACAGAGAGGAAGGGAAAGGGATACAGACTTAGAAACATCGATGAGAGAGAAACATCGATCAGCTGCCTCCTGCACATCTTCTACTGGGGGTATACCCGCAGCCAAGGTACATGCCTTTGACCGGAATCGAACCTGGGACCCCTCAGTCAGCAGGCCGACGCTCTATCCACTGAGCCAAACCGGCCAGGGCAGGGCCTTTCTTATTGATAGGAGTTCTCTACATACTCTGTATATTACTATTTATCACACACATTGGAAACAGAATAAAAATCCGAGCAGTATTTTTAAAAGCAAATTGAAGAATTTTATATGAAAATGCAAAGAACCTAGAATAGCCAATACCATGTGGAAGAATGACATACTGCAGGGTATCATGCATACTGTAAAGCTCCAGTAATAGGCCAGGGGATGTTAGCACAAGGACAGACAAACCAATGAGAACAGAATCGAGTCCAGGAAAGACCCCCACACGCACAGGGACCTGATTTATGACAAAGACCCTGTCATAAATGCCTGGGGGGGTATGCTCCAAGACCCCATGGATGCCTGAGACCGTGGTAGCACTGAGCCCTACGTATACTACGTTTTTTCCTATACATCCATACCTATGATGAAGTTTAACTTGTAAATCAGGCACGCAGCAATAACTAACAGCACAAGAACAATTATAACAACATCCTGTCATAGAAGTCCTGTGGATGTGGCCTCTCCCATCACTGCACTGCCCTCACTCTTCACGTAGGAAAGCACTTTCCGGCTTTATCTACGGTCAGCATCACCACTCTTGTGCTTTGGGGCCATAATTAGGTAAAATAAGGGCAACTTTAACCCAAGCACTGCGATGCCAGCCATCCATCTGGTACCTGAGACGGCTACAGAGTGACCGACAGGCAGGCCTAGATGTAGCGTGGGCACGGTGGACAAAGGGCGATTCATGTCCCAGGTGGGATGGAGTAGGACAGCAAAAGACCTCTTAGGAGTTCTCTACATACTCTGTTGCCCTCAGAAGAGTGTGCAACTTAAAATTTACGAATAGTTTATTTCTGAAATTTCCCATTTTCAAACCGTAATTAACTTCAGGTAACTGAAACCGTGTTAAGCGAAACTGTGGATAAGGGGGGACTACTGTACAAGACAATTTTGTATTTTATTTCTCCCTCTTAACATTCTAAGTACTTTCTATTCCACACAGAAAATGTTAGCAAGCATAACTTTGAAGGATGACATGATTTCTACTGCACTATTATGTTACCACTTGTTTAACCGTCCCTCTACTGTTGACCGTGTGAGTAAGTTTTGGTTTTTAGCTAGTATAAATAACATTGCAATGCACATTTTTATAAAAATGTCTGTAACAGTAAGAGCTAAAACTAACTCAGATCTATCCACAGAAGAGGAGATAACACATTGTTGCACATTCACACAATGGAGTAGCAATCAGCAACATAGCGAAACAAACTACCAGCACACAAACAACAGGCGGACCTCAGACCATGGTGCTGAGCGAAAGACACAGAGAGCGCACTGTCCGGTCCCACCCTCGGAGCTCTAGAAGGGTCCCGCCAGATACGGCAGCAGAGGTCAGAACAGCGGTTGCCTCTTGCGGATGCAACTGGGGGTGTGTATGGACACAGACATCAAGCTGTACACTAAGATGTGCACCAATGGAAAAAATAAAGAAAAAAACAACAACAAGATTTGCACCAAGGGGATCCTGGGAACGCGGCAGAGTAGGAAGCACAAAGGATACTCTCAACAGAGTAAAAAGGCGACCCACAGAGTGGGAGAAAGTATTTCCAAGCCATATATCTGATAAAGGATTAATATGCAGAATACATAGACAACTCTTAAAGCTCAATGACAAAAAGGAACAAACAATCCAATTAAAAGTGGGTAAAAG